TTAAGAGATTTTTTTTTTTTTTTTGCCTTAGGGTGTGTGTGCTCAACAGAAAGACAAGAGACAGTGAGAGAGAAAGTGAGAAATCATGCCCCAGAAGGGTTGGCCATGCCGCAGTCCCTTCTCCATTTTCCTCCTGGGATCTTGGGCATTCATGCACACACATCCAAGTGTGAGTTTCAAGCCACCAGGTCTGGGACTTGAACTGCGATCAGCCATTTGGGAATCCAGCGATATAACCTCTGTGCCATCTGCTGACCCCAAGTTTTTTAAGTCATTAATGATAGCGCATCTTAATCTTAAAATATATAATTTTATAGCCTTTGATAGAGCTGTTGCAAATTAGAAATACAAACACAGGATTTAGAGTTTGAAGACTGTTTAAAATTAATCTAGACCAACCTGTCTTATAAATAGAAGTTCTTTCTCTAGTATAAGCCATCAGCCTTATTTAAATTCTCTAGAGACAGAGCTCATTATCTGGTAATAGCATTAATGAATTCTAGAAGTAGAATTCTTTTCTATATTGAGTTAAATCTTATTTTCCCTTCAGTTTCTACTAAGAATAATTAGATTCTGAAACTGACTCCTGGAGAACCACAGATGTATGGAAGCATAGCAGAGAAGCTTTCTCTCTTCTACTGTGAACAAGTCCTTGACCCTCCAGGTATAAAGTGACGGGGATGGTTTTATTTTAAACAGTTAGGCAAGAGGTGTAACTTTCGCTCCTTTAACTATGACGTGTTTTCTAGACTCTAATACAAGACTATGTTCCCTTCTTATACAGACACATCACAATTTTTTGGCCTTACTGACCCTGCATATGAAGTAAAAGCCTTTAGATATTTCTTTGTGCGGATTGTACAGATGTCAGGTCTTCAGTGTTTTGTTTGAGACTTTTTAAAATGTTTAAACTTGGAATTAGATCTTGTGTTTATTGTCTTATGTCTTCATATTGCTTTCAACACTGCATTTCAGATGGAATAAATGGTACTAAATTGTAATTGTATCATTTTTGGTCTTATTTCTATCAGTTTGGTATCAGTTACAGATTTGATAAGCACTTTGTGTTATTGTCTACATCTAAATAATTATTTAAAATGTTGAATTTCAGAGGGCTGTAGGGGACATAATTATCCTTTAATCCTGCTTAAATTTGCTTCCAGCTATTATCATTACTTTTTGTTGTTTAATCATTTGTGAATCTACTTCAAAGGTTCTATGACGTAATTCACATTTTACCATTTTATATATAGAAGGTTGTTTTATATATAGATGTCAGTTGTTTCGCTCATTGAAATCAAGATCCCCTATGTTGTGGGATCAGTTCCAGTATAATATACTTCAGCATTTCTCTTTGAAAATTAGGCACTTTTGGGGACCAGCTGGTGGCGTAATGGTTTTATCACTGGACTCCCATGTAGATGACCATGGTTAGAGTCCCAGACCTGGAGGCTTAAAACTCACACTGTGTGCATGTGCCTGTGTGCCCAAAATCCTGAGAGAAGAATGGAGGAGAAGGAATTTTGGCGTGTCCTCCCCTTGGGGGGGAAGGGTGATTTCTCACTTTTTGTCTCTATGTCTGTGGTGAACACATGCTCCCAATAGCAGAAATCTCTCAAAAAAAAAAAAAAAAAAAAAAAAAGAGAAGGGGGCATTTTTGACAAATCCTGGCATGAAAATCGTTAAGAAATTGCCTAGGGCAGGCAGGTGGTGTGGAGGTAATCCCACAGGGCTGACTGTATGATTTAAGTACTGGGCCCGGTAGTTTGTAAAAACACGCTTGGTCCTGTATACCCAGAGGCCCGAGAGGAGAGGAGAGGAGAGGAGAGGTGATTTTATCTTGGCCATACCGCTGGGGGGTAATATCTCACTTTCCCTCTCTTGCTGGCTCTCTCCAGCTAGTGCACACACACTATAGCAAACTTTTTTTTAAAAAAGAAAAAAGAATGAATTAGATCTCTATGTACTCAAAGGATAATTTCCCTAAGCCATGTTGAGCTAAGGAAGAAAAAGGCAAGTTGGACAAGATCAGGTATTGTGTGTGTGTGCATGTGTGTGTGTATTTTTTTAAGGGAAAGTAAAATTTCTTAGCACATCTCTTTGTATTTAGTAGATAATAAATAGTAAAGGTTTATTTAAACTGTGTTAAATATCTTTTTGTTAAATTCCATTGACCACCATGGTGGAGGTTGTCAGGAAGTTACCAGTGTGAGCGAGCTCATCATGATTTCCTTAGTCTTTACCCTCCTTTGTCCTACCCAGATCTGTTTTATTATTGCTGAAAGCAAGGAGACTTTTAGTAGATTACTTGACTGTATGGCATTAATAGAAGAATGCTTTGATCTTTCCCACCACCTTTCTCTTTCCTAAAAGATCATAGTTCAAAACAAGGAGGCATTCTTGTTACTCATGTCATTATCTACCCAACACTCAAATTACACCTAAAAATACTTTATTTATGTGTATGTATTTATGCTAAGCAAGCGTAGTTTTGGGAAATTCTCCTTGAATATACTCTTTAGTGTAAAAACCTAAGCTCCTAGAATATGGAGACGGTTGTGTTTTCTGAGTACCTGATAGGTGGTTATCAGGGTTCTGATAATGTTGTTTTGTTTTGTTTTGAGAGGTTTTTCACTATAGGGTGGATGCGCTCGCCAGACAGAGACAGAAAGCGAGAAATCACCCCCCTGGGGGATGGTCACGCTGCAATCCCTTCTCCTCCATTCTCCTCTCGGGATCTTGGGAACGCACGCACACGCGCCCGGCGTGGGTTTTAAGCCATCGGGTCCGGGACGCAAACCGTGCTCCACTACATGGGAGTCCAGCAACATAGCCATTACGCTAATTGCTGGTTCCCAGGGTTCTGATAATGTTTTTAATTCAGTCAAAGTTCTTTGTTAAAATGTAGATATTTGGGAGATAGAAGTAAACGGTTTTGGGGAGTGTGAAGAATAGAGGGCATATCAATGGAATTCATGGACTCACAAGTTGTTTGTTTTAAATTTACTATCCTGGGACCAGCAGGTGCGTGGTGGTTAAGGCACTGGACACTCCCACATGGCTGACCATGGTTCAAGTCCTGGTCTTGGTGGCTTGCTTTCTCACTTTCCTCTCTCTCTCTTTGTGTCTCTCTCTGGTCAAATTAAAAAATGAATAAATAAATAAATCTTTAAAAAAAATTTACTTTCCTTAGTTGCAGACCCAATTGTAATTTTGGGCAGGTTTTGTTTTCTTTTCTAGATTGAGGATTTCTTTTTTTTGGAGAGATTTTTCGCTGTAGGGTGTGTGTGCTCGCCAGACAGACAGAGAGAGACATAGAGACAGAAAGCGAGAAATCACCCCCCAGGAGGGATGGTCACGCCGCAATCCCTTCTCCTCCATTATCCTCTCGGGATCTTGGGCACGCACGCATACGTGCCCGGCGTGAGTTTTAAGCCACTGGGTCCGGGACACGAACCGCGGTCGACTACGTGGGAGTCCAGTGACATAGCCATTATGCTAACTGCTGGTTCCCTAGCTTGAGGATTTCTGTGGAATGGATTAGTAGGCCCTCTACCTAGTCCTTAAAATTTTCCTGGTTCAATACATCATAATTCGTTTGTAGTGACTGAATCATTCTCTTCTGTCCTTGCAGATTGAGGTGGTGCCATGCAGCAGGAAGCTGAGAGATGCAGAGTCCGAGCCAGAAGGCCCGACATGGCACTTTATGTTCCTAAGGCTCGGAGGGGTGCAGTACTCCTCAAGAGAGATGATGAGGAAAAAAGCTGTGGTCCTCCTAACTCTGTGGTGAGAGAGGAGGAAAAAGACAGTTGTCTGTCCCAAAAGGAGACCTTTAAAAAGCCTGAGGCTCACAGACTCAGTATTAATTCTCACGGGAAGGAGCGTAATTATAGGGAGGGAAAGAAATCTTCAACAAAATTAAGAAAAGACATTCGCCTTCAAAAAAGAAACGAAGATAGGATTTGTACTAAATGGGGAACCACAGAATCCAAAGAGGTATTATCCCAAGGACATCAAAGAGTCCCAGATGCTGGGATCGTACCCAGTGTGCCTTTACAAAGACATTCGAAACCAAAGAAGTTGGAGTGCTTGGAGGCTGGAACTACGAATGTGACAGGACACGAGAGGATGCTTCTGTCACAGTCTTGTTCAGAAATCAGTGAGACTGTGGTTCTGAATGAGCCATTCCAAGATAAGGAATTATCTGATTTTGATAGACATGAACTTACTGGGGAAACATTTGGAGACACAGATTTGGGAAGCACAGTGGAAACTGATGGCGAGGTTGGAGAAGTAGTATCCGAGTTTCCCAGAGTTTTCAGTTCTGTCTTGAAGCCTGAGAGTATGATTTCACCAGGAAAGCAGAGCTCTGATTCTGGAATTGTGGAACAAGGCACACATGCATCAGATGGAATGTTGAAGCTTAGCAATGCAGGTGTCACTGCCGTTTCTGTTCCTGGAAGTCCAGATGGTGTCATTGATCAAATTCGTGTAGACTTTGCAGCAGAGAATGTCAGTGACAGAGCCAACAGTCCAGGTTTCATGTTGGATGAGAAAGGTATGGCTTCCATTCCTGAGACTGTGCATCACATCTCTCCTGAAATGACTACAGCTCTCAGCAAAACTGAGAACACAGATGGCATTGTTGATCCAGCGGTGATTAGAGAGTGCGAGAAGAATGACAGCACTGCCAGTGAGTTAAGTATAAAGTATGAACCTTCTGATAGCACTGTCCTTGCTCACAAGGCAGAAACAGATAATGGGCTGAAGAGTGAGGGTGACATCACCAGTAAGGCATGTTCGATGGACGTGACAGCTGCCACGTGCGATCCTATAACCGTTGGCAGCCCTTACCTAGTTGCAGTTAGAATGGCCGATGAGACCTGTAGCAATGCAAGTAGTTTCTCAAAATACATAGGAATGAGTACAGATGCGGCCCCTCTTCGTGTTGCTCAAAGTGGGAATTACACTGAAAATAACAGCACTCTGACTGCTTGCTCAGATGTTTGTACCGAGAGTATTTCACCTGGTTTTACAGCGTCAACAGGAAAGTTGATAGAGAGCTTGCCAGTTTGTGCTTCTTCCTTACCTATAAAGAAGATTGCTGGTAGTAATTGTAACACTTTTTTGGACTCTGAACTCAGTATGGTAAATGAGAGAAAAGTACTTTCGGACAGTGCCTTGGGCAAAGATCTGGATAATACTGGTGATATAACAGAGGCATTGCATGAACTAAGACTTGCTGAAGAGTTCAAAACAGAAGAGAAAGATGACTCCGAGAATACAGAGTTTGGTGTATCCTTTCCTGATAGAGAATCATTATCTATAGAAGCATCCATAGAACTGAAAGCAGCTGATGCTTCTCACCCGGAGGAAGGTACTGCGACTGAGGAGACCTGGGAATCTATGTTTAATGATGATGGCGACTGCCTGGATCCACGTCTTCTACAAGAGGTATGGTTAGTGGGAATTTCTTGATGCTTAGACAGTTTATAGATTCAGGAAACTTGGGCACTTGGCTCTATTTTGATATTTGTGTATCTTCACATTTACTCATCTAGTGTAAGGGTTCCTTTAGTAAAGGAACAGGTTGTAGAGTGAGAAAGGAATATCTGGTAGATCTTTTAAAAATAAAACACAAAGAATTAAGCTATGTGTGTAATAACCGAGTCCTGACACATCATATTGAATAGATTATAGATGAATTTCATGGGTTTTGCCTATCTGTTAAGCACATACAGAGGGAAATTTCTTTAAAAGTGTTTTTTCTATGTTGACAGGATATATGTTTACATGGGCCCATTTAGGGGAAGGAGAATAATTTATTACTCTCCATATTTTTCTAGTAAATGTTGGAATGTTTTTAGACACTATTGAGAGAAAGGAGTAGAGAAGTTCAATTTTTTTAATGGAGTTTATAGTAAGCTAAATTGAATAAATGACTAGCATATTTGTCAATGAATAATGACATTCTGGCCAGTTAGGAATTCATAAAAACAAACTGTTGGATTTGAAAACATCTTAGAAATTGCTTAGTTTAATTTTTTTTTTAAAGAGATGTTTTTGCTATAGAGCGTGTGTGCTCACCCGAAAGACAGAGAGAGATAGACAGAAAGCGAGAAATCACCCCCCACGGGGGATGGCCACGCCGCAATCCCTTCTCCTCCATCCTCCTCTCGGGATCTTGGGCATGCATGAATTTAAGCCACAGGATCCTGGACTCGAATCACGGTCCAATTACTTGGGAGTCCAGCGACAGTCGTTACCTTAACTGCTGGTCCCAATCTTTTTGTTTTCTTAAACATTTACTCTTCAGTCAACATGTAGATTCTTTACCACAAATAAGAATCATTGGGTTTTAAAATTTTTTCTTCTTTACATTTAATTATCATATACTTTATGGCATACAATAAAGTTTATGCGTACTACAGTGTTATAATCAAATCAAGGATATTATTACAGTATATACTTCGTTTTCAGTATCAATCCTTGGTTTTAAATGGTTGAACCATTCCCTTTTTCATTTCTTAGAGTAGGTTTGCTTAACTTTTGCCTAGAGGGGAATAACTAATTTTCCTATAGTAGCCCTAGTTTTATAAATGAGGAAATTGAAGTTTCTTTTCACACCTTTAGGAAAGGCAAAACCAGGATTTCAATCTAGTTTTATCTTAATCCAAGGTTTATATTCTTCCTGTCAGACCATTTCCTCACCTAAAGGGTTTCATTTGAGCCATTCTGAAGAACTTTTTAAATACTAAGTGTGATGAGTCTTTTGTTTCTGAGAATTAAACTAAAAGTAGAGAGAAATCATCATAGGCATGCTAAAAAGCCACATGACTGAAGAAACAGCTCATTAGACAGAACTGACTTTCTAGTACCAAGCAGCCCACCTCATTCTTAGGAGAGGTTTGCACACGTTGAGTTTCCCTGTCCACGTCGGCGCTTCTCGCTGTCGAGTCAGCAAACACTGTATCTTAAACATTCCTGAGAATAAAGTATAGAGCAGAGAGTATCTGTAGATGAGCATTCACGAACCCCTTGAAATTACTGCAAAGTGGTATGTGTATATGCGTTCTTTCATAAAATTCTCAAAGGCATTGTTTCCCAAAGTATGGTCTCTCGAGCAGTACCATGAGCATCACCCCAGAACTTGTTAGAAGTGACAGCTGTTGAGCCTGCAGTCTGAAGATATACGACATTTTCAGATGGTTCTGTTGCACATGAACTTTGAGAAACACTCTTCAAAAGTATACACAAACTGAAATGCACATCAGAATGAAAGTAGTTAACTACACAGGTGGCTTTCAGCCCATAATTGAAAAGCATTGTTCAACAGAGGTTTGAGACCCAAATCAGGTTAAGAAATACTAATAATGGGGGAAGTTCAGTGAACATAGAGGGGAGTTATTAAGGTTAAAAAATTGGGAGAAGGGATTAGTTTGAGAAAGGAAGTAGTGCTCATAGGAGTTGGCAGAAAGCCTACCTGGGGAGTATTGATAGAAAGCACATGTACATTTAGGAGAGAAAGGACAGCTTCGTATAGAAGCTCATGGCATACAGTGTTTTACCCCTTTTAGCATTCGATAAATAATTATCGAATGGATAGAGGTGAGGACAGAGTTGGAGCTTTTATTATTATTTTTATAATTTCATGTGAGAGAGGGACAGGTACAGCACCCCTGACAGGGTCTTGATGCTGATCCACCTCTTGCTTCGGCCAGTGCCGATAGGTGGCACACGCGTGCCAGGTATACATAGGGAGGTCTCCAGACATGAGCCAGCAACTTGCGCATGTGGGTACACCCTGCAGAGCCCAGTATTTCACTGCCATGTTACCATCTGGCCCCTATCTAGGGTGGCCTCCTGCGGCTTTCAAAGCCACATTGCTTCTGGCACGTCAGCAGATGGCGTGAAAGTTAAGGCAGCTGAATCCCATTTGCAAACAACCAACCAACTCACCAACCCTGAGTCCTGGAAATATTGTTTTGTTTTGTTTTTTAAAAATCTACATTGCAGCTGGAATTTTGATTCTGTATGATAGCTTAGGGATATGGGTTATGTATTGGAGAAGGTGGGGTTCAGGTATACAGCTCAATTTTTCACACCTTACCTCTGTTTAGAATAGGTGCAGAAGAATTTAGGGGACAACTCAATATTTTGAGTAACGTAGTTAGGGAGGTTGGATGTTACCATGACCTAAAAGCTGAGAGTGGCAAGAAAATGGCATTTTGGGTTATAAGCTGAAGACAAATAGTGCCTGGGTGTTGTGTTTGGATATCTTTGGAGGAACTTGGGGGTGGGGGGAGTGGAGTCTATTTTGAGAAATAAGGATAGATGAGAGCAGGAAAAAGGGAGATGGATTGAGAATGCAGGTAGCAGATCCAACTCCAAACTATGGGTCTCCTCTGCTTTGGATTTTAGAAGATATTTTAACAGTAATATTATTCATACATGTCACAAATCCAGTAATATTAACAGTGCTTTGATGACTTTTACTCTTATTTTATTATTTATAGCGTTCTAAACATTAAATGCTAAAACAGCATCTGCCTACCTTGATAACTTTCAAATCTAAAGTTTTTGGCTGTTTTCCAAGCTGGCCTATTTCTTTGTTGATAATGGCTAGACATACGGAGCTATGTCTAATACTTCAGTAGGCAGAGGTATGCCGTAGTTCAGGGCGGGGCAGCCATTGGCATGCCAAGCAATTTCCTGTGACATTGAACCTTTAAAACTGCCTGAGGAGGGTAGAGCATATTTAGGTCATTATTGATATCCTAGAACTTTAACTCTTGATGAGGCTCCAAAGACTACATTAATCTCCCAAAGCATAGTATGAAATGCCCAGAAACTTAAGTTGGTAATTGATAAAAGAGGAAACATTTGGAATGACTTATTTAGGCTCTCTGAGAACTCGGTACAAGATCTGACCAGTACTAGTCAGCAAATCTGTGGATAAAAGGGTTAGTGGCATACCAACAGGACATTGACGTTGATAGATACTGGCATCTAAGACCATTCATTATTGGCCATTTTGGGCCCAGATTTGAGTTTTTAGATGGGGTAGGTATTTAGGTAGAAATCTTCCATATTTTAAGAATTTGAGGCCTTTCATTTGGAAAGTCTTTGAGTTATGGAAAGCTACTAACAGGATGTATCCATGGAAAAGAGAAGAGTAAAGGAATACCACTCATTCTCACCCATTTCCTTCTGTGTGCTAACTCACATTCTTATACTTTCTGTCTGTCTATGGTCTTTTTGCAAAAATCTTAAGTAGAAAACCCAAAATTGAAAGGAAAAATTTATAATCCAACCATTAAAAGCAAATTATATGGGGACCAGCAGTTAGCTTAATGGCTATGTTGCTAGACTCCCACATAGTCGACCCCGGTTCGAGTCCCGGACCCGGTGGCTTAAACTCACACCAGGCGCGTGTGCGTGCGTGCCCAAGATCCTGAGAGGAGAATGGAGTAGAAGGGATTGCGGCGTGGCCATCCCCTCTGGGGGGTGATTTCTCACTTTCTGTCTCTATGTCTCTCTCTGTCTGTCTGGCGAGTGCACACACCCTATAGCAAAAACCTCTCCCAAAAAAAAGAAAAAAAAAAAAAGCAAATTATATGAAGTAGAAAGGGAGGAAAGCCCCTCATATGCCATGACCTACAGGCCTCATAACTAGTTTGTGCACCGTCACTTTGTAGTTAAATAGCAGATGTTGAACACTTAAAGAGTTTGATAACCGGGCCAGCAACTGGTGTGGTGGTTAGGGTATTGTATTGAACTCCCACACAGCCAATCACAGTTCAAGTCCCTGACCCGATGACTTGTTTTCTCACTTTCCCTCTGTCTCTCTCTATTTCTCTGGTGAGTGTGTGTGACCTGTACCTAATTAAAAATAAATAAATAAATAAATAAAATGAAATCAATCTTTTTTTAAAAGAATTGATAATCTATGAATTTCAAATAGCTAGGTATATGTTGTTGTTATCATTACTGCATTAAAGGCACCATGCTACATGCCAGCCTTTTCTCTGCTCTAAAGTTGCTTATATTTTATTTCAAGAGACACTATGTAACCACGTGCTAAATAATTGCTTAATGGTCACATAGCAAGCTCGAAGGGAGGATAATTAATGCAAGACAACTTTGTAAGAGATGTAAGAGACTAAACTGTATTTGGTTGTGTGATGAGTGACATTGACAGTGGGGGAGGAATTGATCCCGGGGGAGTTACACTTAGTGATACAGTTTCTTGGTGAGACCACAGAATTAAATAAGAGATTATAGTTCTTACTTTAGTATATTTACTATATTGAGCAAGTATATTGTTCTGTGTTCCTAATTTCTATATTCCATTTCTTTTTAATGCATAGACTTTTTTGAGCAGTTTTAGATTTACAGAAAAAATTGCACAAGAGTTCAGAGTCCCCTTGTACCCTCTCACTATTCTAACTTCT